CCAAGCATACGGCTTCCATATCGAAGTCAAGTCTTTGTCATTTGATATTTTAAACTGGATGCTAAATTCCTCAATCCTTAAGACGGAGTGGATAATCCTTTCCCTATTTGCCTTCCTCGACGGATTTAAATCAATAATTATCTAAAAATAAAAAATAGCAGATTCTTCATAAATCCATTTAAATGAAAACACTACCGCATAAATATACAATCTAATGTCTTAAAAATAAATGCTTATTTCAGGAGACATCTTTTATTTTCATATTTTATGAATTATTTTTCCTTATGAAAATTTAAAGTGTGCCCCAGATTTTTAGTAATTCTACAAGTACGCCCCGAATTAAAAATGGTCGAGAAACACTAATCTAGACTTAGGTGAATCTCATGGCTTAATATTATAGGCATTCTCAGACCTGGTGCCTGTATTTTATATTCCTCTCAACCGTTAACACTAGGGAAATCAGTTCGTTTATCTAGGGCTTCTTATATATGATGACTGTAGCTTCTTTTGTTATGTGTTGAATCACTTCAGAACGTGGGTGATCATGCCTCTCCCCAACCTCCTATCCTTTGTAGCCCTTAGCAATTTTACCTTTTACCTTGTCTTTTTACTAAACCCACCATCCATTAAAATTAGGTCGGTTACTCGCTGTTTCTTTCTATTCCGCTTGCCTTTCGTATGTCCTGTGAGTGTCAAATTCCCCAAACCGTCTTTCTCACGGTGTCCCAGAAATTTCAACAGTCTCTTTCTGATTATCAGTACAAGTGTCCTTTCTGTTCTCATATTCCCTAAAACTTCCTTGTTGCTCGCATCTCCATTCCATGGTATTCTTGCCATCCTTCTGTTGCCTCAAGTACCGTCTTCTTTTATTAGTAAATTATCCAACATTCGCTGCTATACAGAAGAAGTGACATTACATAGCAATTAAGCACTCTTTTCTTTGTTTTTACCGAATTTTTCCAGTTGTTTGGTACTTTGTTTAGCGTTTGAAAGGCATTTTCGCTATTCCAGTCACCGCTTTTAATTAAATATTCAATCGGAACGCTTTGTCCAAGAATGCTCACGACTTTAATTAAAGGCTGCGATATTGTCATCATATTGCAATTATTCTCATACTTAGAGATTGATAACATTGATCGTTATTAATTGGTGCAAGGAATGGCTTGTTAATTTTAATGTCTCCAAGATGAAGCTTCTCTATTAATCAACTGAAAAACCCTTACTGCCTTCACTCAGCATAAATACCGCCCACATTTTAAAGGCCGACAAAAAGATCAAAGTAACTACTATTAAAAAATTATTTCACTGTTTTTAAGCAAAGGGCTATGCTTTTTTATTAATTTGGTTTTAAAATAACATCCTCCAAATAGCGGCCTCTATTCGCCTCTAAACTGTTGTAGACATTTCTAAAGTTTTCCATCAACCGAAGAGTGATTTCTGGCGGGATTTCTACCACTTTTTGGTAAATAGCATCCTTTAATTCTTCACTGGTTGCTGGTCAATGGTTGTAGACCTCGACTTCTACCCCAGAGAAAGCAATAGCAGGAGGTGAGTTCGGTCGAGTTTATAGACCATCCAATGCCACCGCGCAAGGAAATCAAATGTACTGGAAACATCTTTCTGAAAGCTTCCATTGATTTTCTTGCTCTGTGTGCTGTGGTTTCATTCTGATGAAGACACACATCCGGACTCCCAAGATCTATGAGTTTTGAACCCAGAAGCGTTGGCAGCATTTCCACATATCGGTTAGATGTTACTGTAACCTTGTGTTCTCCCTCGTCAAAAAAGTACGGGCCTAATATACCACATTTCGCAACTGCATACCACACAGTCACTCGATCGCTGTGAAGTGGTCTTTCATGAAAATGTCTCGGGTTATTTTCTGTCCAATATTTAAAATTCTGCTTACTAACGCAGTCAAAGTGAGCGAGATTAATCATTTGTGAGAAGAACAACGTTTACAGCAAGATTTTAAAGGATATCGTCACTGCATGCCATGCAATTTTCCAAGTCGCGTTCTTGCAGTTACTGAACAACCATTAATTTACATTATTTACATAATTCGGACTATTTTCCTCATCTTTGTCGCCATATTTATCACAACGTTTCGACTGTTGTACGCTCCGGCCTTCTTCAGGTGGTTGGAATGTCGGACTGAAGCCTATATTTCGCTCACTATTTCGCTCACTGAAGGTCGGAGCGTACAACGGCCGAAACGTTGTAATAAATATGGCGACAAAGATGAGGATAATAGCCCGAATAATGTAAATAATGTACATAACACTTCATCTCAGAAATATAGACAGAACCATTAATTTGTCTTGATGGAATTTCAGACAATATCTAAGCCGACGCATCATTACGTATTGAACGTGTAGGAAATTGCACAACAGAGTGTCTCAAAGACTGAGCATATCTGGGGTTCGGGCCCTTCGAGTTTAGCCAGGTGGCTTTCTTTTAAATGTTAAACCTGTGGGTCTGAAATTTTCAACTCCTAGCTGTATCGATTTTCTGTCCGGAACAGTATCATTCCGGAGTAACAAGAAATGGGCACAAAAAAATTTCGCGCTGCAATTACAGATTGACCAGAACGAAAAATTCAAGTGCTTTATCTGGTTTGCCAATTCATGAGTTTCGCGACAAAATCCCTCATCAAGGTCAGATATTTGATAATTTTATAATCTTTCGTAACGAACGAACGAACGCTAACTCTAATTTTGGAATTTAAAATTCTTAACACGTAAGAGTTCCATTATAAACGTCACAAGATTTTAATTTAGAACCAGTTATTTTAGCGTTTTCAGTTAAATGCCAAAAAAAAAAACGCAGAAAGTGTGAATTAAAATGGGCGGAGTGGCGATTCCATTAAGGGACAATCCTCGCAAAACGGGTGTGGCTCTTGCATCTTGTCTCACTGGTCATGGTGCCATGGTTCTCCATCATTGCGGCTAGCAGAGGATAACAAAAAAAAGATTGTTTATAGATACTTTGTACAAACTTTGTTCAAATAAATTCTTTGTCTCTATTTAAAAAATAAATTCACACATTTTATGTTTAAATAGGAATTTAGGGATGTCCAACTTCACTTTATTTCTTGTTGAGAAAAGACACAAGCATGCCTGAAAATAACCACAATTTTAATCCCTTTTCTTATGCTTATATTTGATCTAAAGGGCTAATAATATGCAATAAATATTATTATTTTTATTATCATTATTATTATTGTTGGTGTTTTTTATCGCTCGAATTTCTTTTATCAGCCTTCCATATATATATATATATATATATATATATATATATATATATATATATATATATACTATTTACATTGTTCGGACTATTGTCATCTTTGTCGCAGTATTTATTACAACGTTTCGGCCGTTGTATGCTCCGGCCTTCTTCAGTTCGACATTCCAACTGCCTGAAGAAGGCCGGAGCGTGCAACGTCTGAAACGTTGCTATAAATATGGCGACAAAGATGAGGAGAATAGGCCGAATAATGCAAATAGTGTACATAATACCTCATCTCAGAAATATATATATATATATATATATATATATATATACACGTTTCATTAAATAATATAGACAAGTGTTGTCTATTTATTTTATGTAAAATTTGTTCGTAACATCTGATAAGTTTGATAACATTATCATTAAACGAAGAAAGAAATTCACAATATTGATCCATATTTTTTTAATATAATCTAAGCTTTCGGCTTACTTAAGCCATTATCAAAGATGTAAATCACAAAACATATTAAACAATATACGGACACGACAGTGATGATAGTCTGTCATTGTTTACATAGTTAATCACTAAGCGACAATAAACACGCGCATATAAGACGCTAGAAGCGAAAATCGCACAGCATGGCTTCTGTTACCAATTATAGACATTTAAGAATATTTGTAGAGATGCCATAATTGATTTTGTTTAGGTTGGGTTTTAACTGTTTGATGTATAATGCTTCTAGTATTTTTTGTTTTTGTCTATTGTTTTCATGTCGAAGTATAGTTGTGTTTTCGACAAGTATTTTACGGAATTGTGTGTGCGGGCAGGCATGTTGTTTTAAATGCCTAAAAATTTTAGAGTTTTCATTAAAATGTAGTGTCAAGCGTCGTGAAAGCGAGTTTGTGGTGTGACCAACATAAATATTATTTAATTCGTTGGAGATACACTCTCCCAAAGGGCACTTGAATTTATAAACTATGTTGGTTTTTTGCAAATCGCTAACCGGGGGAGAAGAATCATTGCGAAGTATTAAGTTGGATATACTAGATTTAGTGTAGTATATGATTAATTTAATTTTTTGCTAGGATCTGTAGTTGATATATTAGAATTTACTAAATTTTTTAGTATGTTTTCATCTTGTTTATAATTAGTATGCATTTGATTACGATATAGGAGATTAATATATTTGAGATCAGTAGAAGCAGTATTATGTACAATTTGCTTATTATTGAGATTTCTAAGAAAGCATCTTATTTGTTCATCAACTATATAGTTTGGAAAGCTATTATTAATAAGTGTCTGTTTTATATTCTTTAGTTCACTGTAAAAAATCTGTTTTGTGGATGAATTAGTTTCTGCACGATGTATTAGATTCTTTATAATTGCTATTTTGTAGTAATATGGGCATTCGCTCTTGTAGTTAAGTGTACATGAATTTATGCTTGTAGGTTTTTTTGTATGGCGAAATAGTAAATTTGTTATTATTTGTGTTTATCAATATGTCAAGGAAGGGATTTTATTATTAGTATTGAGTTCATATGTGAATTTAAGGACAGAATTATTTTGGAACCGTTTTTGAAGTTGAATTATTTCATCAGTATTTTTAACTAACATAAGAATATCATCAACGTATCTTAGGTAGATTGATGGTTTTATAAAATCTGTAAATAACTTATTTTCGAGGTTCGACATGTAGAAATTGCTAAATGTCGGGCCCAATACTGAACCCATGGAGACACCATCACGTTGTATATATATATTGTTATTATGATCGAAGATAGATAGATAGATAGATAGATAGATAGATAGATAGATAGATAATATTTTCTTCCCGAGTACTTTCGAATGTTGCTGCATTCGTTTTCAAGGATTGTGTTTTGTGTATGGTTATATAAACACACACATGACACTATCCATGAACACGAATGTAGCAACGTTCGAAAGTACTTGGCAAGAAAATAATATAAAATCATAATGAATATAAAAGCAAATTTACTGATTAAAATAAAACAACTATTTCATAAATTTGAAAAAGTTAATAAAATGAGATCACCTTTAACGGCTTGAAATTGGTTGCAGAAAAACGTGAAAACGTCGGAACTAACCGAAAAACAGTTACGTAAGCACACACACATATAAGCACAGAGGCACAGACATACACAGACATACACACTTACACACACACACATATATATATATGTAATTACGTCATTATTGCAAATTTCTGATATTATATAATTTGCAATATTCAAACTTATCCATTATTTATTTGTTTATTTTTAATTTAATTCATTATAGATTCAATTTAATTTTGTATTCTACATTTTTGATTTTCGACAAGAATATCAGCTGTAATTTTTAGATTCAATTTTGGCTATATTAATATTATATTTAATATTTATTGCTTATTACAAATTCTGAATAAACAGTATTAACAATATTTATTTTAATTTAAATATACTGTTTTTTAATATTTATTTTATATTTTAGTTTTATTTATTTATTTTATGAATTTAATTTAAATTGTTTAATTATTTCATATGTATAATATTTTATTTATTTACTTTAACTTTTCTAATTTTTTAGACGTTAATCGTAAATTCAAACATATTCATGTGTTAATCACGTTGTAATATGCAAATTTTGAAATGATAAATCTTTCGTCTTGCACAAAAGATTTTGACCGTTAGTTATCTAATTGAAATTCACAATTCGATTGGCGGGAAATTGTAATTCTTTCTCCAGTTGTTAACCATTAAATATTGGCTATTTTTTATATATTACTTACATTATTCGGACTATTGTCCTCATCTTTGTCGCCATATTTATTACAACGTTTTGGCCGTTGTATGCTCCGGCCTTCTTCAGTTGTTTGTATTGTGGAACTGAACCCTTTATTTCGTTCAATGAGGTAGACTGTTCTAGTTCCACGTGCCATGTTTAATGGATGTCAGTTATCAGTTATCTCATGTTAAAGCTCTCCACTTAACATGGCGCAGTGGATAAAGGCGTTAGTTAGATCCGATGACATGACCCAAAGAGCGTGAGTTCAATACCTGGCTAAGGCAGTGGAGAACTTGGAGAGGGGAATTAACGGGAGATAACTGATAACTGACATCCATTAAACATGGCACGTGGGATAAGTTTTGTCCCTATGCTGTCATCCACTTGCTTAATTCCACGAGGTATGTCATGCGTTGCTTTCCCCTGTCTCTCTTTCTGTCTACCCGACCTGTGAGTATCAGATTTGTCCAAGCCCTTCTATCTCATTACGTGCCTCTGAAATTTCAGCTGCCTCTTCCTGATGTTAAGTATAAGCTTCCTCCTTGTTTGCATACTCTCCAAGACCTCATTGTTGCTCACGCGCTCGGTCCATGATATCCTTAGCATCTTTCTGTAGAACCACATCTCCGTTGCCCCGAGTCTCTTCTTCATCTTTGAGGAGACTGTTCAACATTGACTGCCGTAAAGACATCCTCCACAAAACTGTATATATAGTAAACCTCCTTTTTTATCTTCAAAAATTTCAATATAATGTCAATCGTTTTCTTCTCTCTTCTCAATCCTCGTTCTTTTATTGTTTTCTCTCCTTATAGTGTTTCTTTCTCATATTCTCTAACACTCAGTAACCCCCCCCACGTCTTAATGGCGCTATTGCCTTTCTTGTGGTGAAATGATTGAAATAAAATAAAAACGTATATCTTATATCCATTTAAGTTTTCTTAAACATTGAGTTAGACATATTTGCATAATAATGATTTAAAAGCTAACACAGTAAAATTACAAGTACTGCTTAAAAGACCTCCGACTGCCCCGATCCTTGACCAAATATCAGAATTCTTAAATTATTTTCTTAGTCGAGCCGAGAACTTTTCAGCACGTCTCGTTTGATATAAAATCGATAACGGCTCAGGAATATATTCCATTGTCTTGCTTTTCGAACCGGAAGCGTGTCTGTAGCAGCCATTGGCAAAAAAAGTTTCATATTAAAAAAAAAAATATCGAATCACTCTATATTTATTAAAATTGTTCTCTTTATTTGTGTTCATGTTTACGATATCTTATCCAATGCCGCATCTCAGGCCTTGTTTTTTCTTATCTCCCCTTCGTCGTTTGAAATTATTATTCAGTTTCTTCCCGGCAACTTCTTTGCGTTGCTTATTACTTACCTGAATCCTTCTTTTCACTTTATCTTTAACCTCTTTCTATCTTTTTAGTCTTCCTTTTCAAACATTTCTTTCTCTTTGTTTCGTTCCTCTTCTTTCTTTCTATTAGTATCGTCCCCACCACCTCTATCCTACTTTTCGTTCTCTATTTACTAGATCTTCTTCCTCCTTATTAGTGGTTGTGGTAAAATCTTGAGCGTCGTTTTAAAACACGGAAAAATCGAGACGAGAATCGTCGTAATAGACAGTAGTTACGATAATGGAACACAGTAACAATACTCAAAATTATCGTCATGGCCACCGGTGTCACATTCGTCCTATTAAAAAGCTATCATGTGAAATCTGTCTTGGTTTAGCTGGAAACTTTTTAGTCAATTTCTACAAAAGTGGGTCAATAAGTCTGCAACCTGAAAATCTGAAATTTCCCCCGTATAATATGAAACTAATGGAGAAGCATCGTGTTAAGTGTATTGACAAAGAAAGATATTACGTTGAAATATAAATATGTTTTGTGTAAAACAAATGCTTTTTCCCCTTCATTAATATTCAAATTTATTGATGTACCGACGTATAAAATGGCACGTATATCGCCGAGCGTAGATAAAATTGATGATCTCAAAAACCATTGCGATTGATAGAACCTTGGAATTATTTTTATATCCAAAAAATGGTTACGTTGTCAAGGCTTTGCAGATCACGTGGTCATACATAATTTTTTGCAACGATGGCTAAGCATGTAGTAGAATTAACATCTTCCAGGTTAACATTTTGTCTTTCAGAATCAATAATATTAATTTCCGAGTATTGGCAGATTTTTCAGTTCCTATTGCAAGCGTGATTTCGAATGGAGAAATGGAATCCACAATCACAACAACATAAGATATGCAGATGACAGTGTTGTTAGCAGACACAGAAAGAAAGCTACAAAACTCCTATAGAAGTAAGTAAAGGAAAACGAAAAGAAAGAACTAAACCTCAATTGCAAGAAGATAGAATGCACAGTTGTTAGCAAAAGGGGCACCCCGACATGCAAAATTACAAATTGGAGATACCAAAATAAAACAAGTACAAAAATTTGAATATCTGGGAATTGTTTTAACAGAGGACGGAAAGTGAAATCTGAAGGTGCATTGGGATAGCAAAATATGCCTTCCAAAAGCTAAGCGAAGTATTAAAAAACAGGAAATTTCGTCAGAAACAAAGAAAAGAGGAAACAACTATTATGTAGTATCAGTTCCCCTATATGGCAGTGAATGAGGAAGAGGGCTTCGAAAGTTTTATCCTCACAGGACAGATTGAAGGTAAGAGGGGCACGAGAAAGCAACGTATAACCAAGCTATCGAGCTGGAGTAAATGGATGGCGGAACAAGGTTTAGGTGAGAAGAAAAAAACAAAATTTATTAAGAGCTACAAAAGGTAGGAAATTGTGGAGAGCTATGATCGTCAATGTTCTGAAGAGACACGGCACAAAGAAGAAGAAGAAGAAGAAGAAGAAGCGGCAGCAGACTGGCTGAAAATGGGCAACTTTCGTGATAGGACTTTCAACATTACTCAGCAACGCTTTATTCATAAACCAATTGATTGACAAGATGGTAGAAAAGTACAATCGTCAGTTTTTCTCGACTTGAAACTTTTTTTTTCATTTTGAGACTTGGTGAAGATTTTAAGATAGATTTCTTTCTGGAGCATGTATGTGTCTAAAAGGACTGTTATTTCTGACTAATAGGATCGAAACCGTAACATTATAGCAGAAATTAGAATTTATACTAGAATACTTCTCGACAACTGGGTTCGTTTCTTTTCAAAACTGAGGAAAACGCAGAAAGGCATACGTAACTTTGATTTACTTCGATAATTGCCATAAAATAAACATCCAGAGTAAAAAAAAAGTAAGAAATAAAGTGGAAAGAAAGAGGAAGAAGGCGAGACAATGAGAGAGAGAGAGAGAGAGAAAATGAAAAAATGAAAGAGAGAAAGAGAGAGAAATAGAAAGTTTCCGAAGAAGTTGATGTTCTCTCATATATTGCTAAGAGTGAGTGAGAGAGAAGAGAAATTAAAAATGAGATTCGATTGTTGTTATTCAATATAAAAGTGTCTGACAAAAGAGAAGAGAACCGAAAGAAATGGAAAAATGTAGAGTTAGTCGTTGTTATCCCACATAGAACAAATAAATAAAAAGAGACATTCAGAAAGAAAGAGAAAATGGAAAGAGAGAATAAAAAAGAAAAGAGAGAATAAAAAAGGAAAGAGAATAAAAATGAAATAAATAATAAAAAAGAAAGAGAGAATAAAAAGGAAAGACAAAATAAAAAAGGAAAGAAAGAATAAAAAGGAAAGAGAATAAAAAAGAAAGAGAGAATAAAAACGAAAAAGAGAATTAGAATGGAAAACGAGAATAAAAAAAGAAAAGAAAAGAACAAAAAGGAAAGAGAGAATAAAAGGAAAGAGCGAATAAAGAGGTAATGAGAGAATAAAAAGAAAAGATAGAATAAAAACTAAAAGGAGAATAAAAAGGAAAGAGAATAAAAAAAGGAAACAGCATAAAAAAGGAAATACAGAAAAAAGTGGGAGGTGATCGTTCTTCACTTTGCAACGTTGGCATAGTTCGACAAATGCATCCGTGGCCTTGTGGGTGATATGATCCATACTAAAACCGCTTTCTCGCAGTAGTAACATCATAAGCCTCTCACTATTCTATCGCTATTTCCATGCCAAATGTTCTGACGAGCTACATCCCTTAATTCCACTAATTCTTACATTTACAGCCATGACGCGTATAAACAGTTGAATCAGTTTTCATTCCCTTCGTATTCCACTGGTAAGAAGGAAATTCAACTCTTTTCAAGAACCGCTACTTTGAGAGACAGACTCCCAAGATGGCATTTCTCCGATCATTACGATCTTAAGCTCTTTAAGTCTAGGATTAGCCGTTATCTACTTTCAACAACCCTATTCAGCAACACCATTTTGAGTGGCTCTTTGAGCTTTGTATTAGCTGAACTACAATATATAAAAAAGAAAATATTTATGGGGTCATATATACTATCATATAAAGTAATAATAAAACTGAATTTAGTGCTAAAATGAAAATAAATATCTTAAAGTGGTTAAACTTCATTTGTTCTTATTAAAGGATAGACTAGAAATCTTTTATATTTTTTTAAGTAAACGATAAAATATAGGAGAACTAAGAGAAAGTAAGAGAAAGAGAGGGTGGATTGAAGATGTAACAAAGAAAGAGGGAAATTAAAAGTGAGATTGAAAGAAAGAAACAGAGAGATGTTGAGCTAAGCATAAAGACAAAGAACAGCAGATGCTTTTTAGCATCTCCTAACCTTCTAGGCTTTCTAACATCAGATTTCATTATTGTATCAAACGCAGTAAACATGTGTAAAAATGCTGTATACGGCAAATAAAAAGAGAGTAAAAGTCCCCGAGCATCTATGAAGATGTAAAGAGAGAGAGGGTAAGAGAGAGGGAGAAAGAGAGAGGGAGAACAGGAAAGAGAAATATAGATAGGAAGATAGAAAGGTAGAGAAAATTGAGAGAAGGGAAAAGAAAGAAAGAAAGAAAGAAAGAAAGAAAGAAAGAAAGAAAGAAAGAAAGAAAGAAAGAGGCAGAGAGAAAGGGAAATTGTGAGAGAGAAAATGAAAAGACAGAAAGTGGAAATAGAAGAGACGGGAAGAAAAAGAAAAAGATGAACTGAAAAGGTAAGAAACAGAGAGAGAATGAAAGAGAAAGAAATAGTGAAAAAGAGAAAAGGGAAGAGAAAGGAAGAGACAGAGAGAGGGAAAGAACGGAGAGAAAAGGAAAATGAGTGAAGAAGTGAAACAGATAGAAAGCGAAATGAAGAGACGGAAAGAAAGAGAAAAAGGAAGATTAACAGAAATAAAGAGAGAGAAAAAGAAAAGAAAAAAGAAAGAAAGAAAGAAAGAAAGAAAGAAAGGAAGAAAGAACGAGCGAGAATGAATAAAAGGGAAAGAAAGCGGGAGAAAGCTAGAAACAGCAATAAAAAGTGGAAGAGACAGAAAGGAAAAAAGGAAATGAAAAGAGAAAGTGAGAGAGAGAGAGAGTGAATAAGAAAAATGAAAGAAATAGAAAGAAAGAAAGATCGTACGATGTGAATGTGAAAATATAACAAAGACCAAAGAAAGAAAGAAAGAAAGAAAGAAAGAAAGAAAGAAAAAGAAATTTGTACAAGAAAAACAAAAAGAACTGTATTTTGTTTTACATTTTCCCATTATTTCTTCATTCGAAAATTCTTTTCTTCTTTTCATCTTACATTTCTTTAGCACTGAAGCGTGTCTGGTCATGGGATTTTCTTTTTACCGTTCGGTATTCAGCAACATTGAATTAAACACGATCAGGCATGTTTTAGTTCAATGCATTCAAATGTTTTTTGTTTATTTGCTTCGTTGTTTTTAATCCCACAGGTTTTATTCATATAGATTTCTTAAGAAAGCTGTTTCAGATATCTTATTTTTTTAACACTGCGTTTTGGCCAACACATGTTTTAGTTTTCTTTAAATACATGCTCAAGCGGTCTTTAAGATTTCCGGAGTTGTTTTTCCTTCCTTTTCATCTTCTCAACTATAACAGTACAATCTACCAGAATCAATGACCGTTAAAAACTTGCGTTAAGACGAGAATAAGCGTAATTGAAGGAATTTCGCTGTGGTGCAATGGTTAACAAGCTGGTCTCACCGACCAATTACAACTGAGAAATAAGTTCGATCCTCACTGTGTGTCTATTACTAGCCACCTTGTGCCACATCCAAAAGCGAGATTGGAATCCGCCATAATTTTTCTCTTGCTGGTAGACTATTTCTATTAGTGTGTGTGCTTCATATTCACCTGATGATTAATTATTGTGACTATGTGCAAGTCTCATGTCATTTAGTTAATATAAGATTGTGTTTGCGTATACTCCATTGATTCAACGCTAATTTTCAAAGCAGGCAAGCCCTCCCCATTTAAAAGACGACTAGGACACAATTTTATCCATCTACTCGTTCTTTTTATTTCGCCTTGTGCCTTACTATCTTCAAAAAATAAGTAAATACCAGCCATTATGTTATGGTTGAGAAGCTACAACTTAAAAGTCTTTATCAATATCTATTACCTCACCGAAAGTGGGCTTGGAGAATTTGACACTCACAGTACATATTGAAGGCAAGAGAAACACAGGAAAACAAAATAACCTGCTAACGAAATTGTATAAATGGTTAACAGAACAGAGACGAGAAGAGATAGCAAAAAGGTAAAATTTATTAAGAGTTACAAAAGACAGGAAAATGTGGAGAGTCATCATCGCCCATGTTCTGAAGACATTTCTGACAATATTTCTTCATATCCAACATTAGACGCTCAAATAACTATTCTTAAAGATTTCGGCAATAGAAATATTTTATCGTTTACTTAAAAAATAAAAGATTTCTAGTCTATCGTTTAATAAGAACAAATGAAGTTTAACCACTTTAAGATATTTATTTTCATTTTTGCACTAAATTCAGCTTTATTATTACTTTATATGATAGTATATATGACCCCATAAATATTTTCTTTTTTTTATATTGTGGTTCAGCTAATACAAAGCTCAAAGAGCCACTCAAAATGGTGTTGCTGAATGAGGTTGTTGAAAGTAGATAACGACTAATCCTAGACTTAAAGAGCTTAAGATCGTAATGATCGGAGAAATGTCATCTTGGGAGTCTGTCTCTCAAAGTAGCGGTTCTTGAAAAGAGTTGAATTTCCTTCTTACCAGTGGAATACGAAGGGAATGAAAACTGATTCAACTGTTTATACGCGTCATGGCTGTAAATGTAAGAATTAGTGGAATTAAGGGATGTAGCTCGTCAGAACATTTGCCATGGAAATAGCAATAGAATAGTGAGAGGCTTATGATGTTACTACTGCGAGAAAGCGGTTTTAGTATGGATCATATCACCCACAAGGCCACGGATGCATTTGTCGAACTATGCCAATGTTGCAAAATCAGGTCTGAACAGCTCTAGCCCAGATATGACATCTGCTATCACTTTTTTTAGTCTGATCTGACACTTGTCAAGAAAGATCATGCTAGGAGGAATCAGATACTTTCTAAAGTGGTACAAAGAACCGACCATTTTTCTTGCCTCTTTAACGATGGGACGTATATGAGTTCCACTTGTGGTTTTTGGGTGAAGAATTCCCATAAATGTTCAAAGCCATGAGCTTTATTGAGAGTGCAACTGTTTATCATGATGAGATAAAATAAAAGAATAGGTGATGATGAAACGTTACTGACTTGGTATTGGAATTTTAACATCGCAACATCATAGATTTAGTTTTGTAATGACAGCAACACGGAAACCATGAACTTATCTATATATAAAACAGAGGATGCCTGTGCGTGTGTGTGTCTGTCTGTGTGACACCTTTTCACTCGAGATCCATCCAATTGATTTTGACTAAACTTGGCACATACATTGTACAACGTAAGAGATAGGTTCTTAGCGTAAAAAATCGATAATTTAAAAAAAATCAATAATCGATAAAACCGATCAAAAATCGATAAATTCAACTTTTTTCCTCCGATTTCGTTCATACTAGGTATGTATGTTACTTACATCATGACGAGGTCAACGATATCTCATTTTTATTTCTACGCCACTGGGTTTAGCGAAAAATCGATTACAAATTTGAACACAAATTTTAAACTAAAAATTCCTCAATTATCAAGCATTCTAATACAAACTTCACTCAATTGTAGCCAACAATAAGTTGACTTGTTTAACAGTCATTTAACTTGATAACTGAGTCCACCATATATTAAAAACGCGCGTAAATAGCGAAAAATGGCGATTTTTTACCGGTTTCTTACTTATTTCTTTCAACCAATTTTCATGAAACTTAACAATTGCTTTATAAATGTGACCTCTTTTACATCCCTGGTAAGCACACTGATGAATTGAATTTCAAAAACTCCCAAATAATTATGGTCTGAAGTGGGTTTTCATGTTGCCTGTTTTACCCTTCATGTTCTTGGTTAACTTCGATTGAATAAATACAGACTAATTCTCTTATATCAGTAACTGCATTGATTCAAAATGTTATTTTTAATGAAAGTACTTTAAAGCAATTGAAAAAGATAGACTCTGTTACATCTAAACATGATGCTGTTTTTGATGCATTCTAACTGAATGCTTTTTCTGATCGACCAGCTGGGTATGGCTGCTAGTATTTTAATATATATATTTACAGTCTTTATTCCATCATCAGTTACTCTTATACAAAAAGTTGATCCTTGCCTACAGATGACTAAGTTTCCTCACCAGCTGTACACCGCATCAGCTGAAACCTGAATGTCGACTCGGGGCATTTTCCAGAATTTATTTTTCATATAGTCACCCTAAAGAGAACTAGATGACGCTAACTGATGGACATATTGTGGTTCAGAGAAGAACAAATAAAATATCAAGAAAATAGAATGATCTGGAGAAAGAAAAAATAATGGAGTTGATGTTATTTTGTGCGAGGTTGGATCATTTAGATATATAATATTGAACTTCTTAAAATGTATATTAGGAAAAAGTTACATAGACCGAGAAGATTACAACATAAAACGAAACCCTCTCTCAGCTTCCCATGTTGCCTCGTTATTCTCATTCGCGTCGACACGCACAAAAACTACGAAAGGTCAACCGTACGTTCACAAGGAAACAAAATATGGTAATTAACACCAAAGTAAGAAACGAAAACACGAATCCTGTTTTCAATAGTTTGGTCATTTATTCAGGGGTTCATTTCCACGGTTTGGTGGGTAGGTTGATAACATTTGGGACTTCTGCTATGAGAGACTACGTATCTGTTCTTCCCTTCAACCAGCAAGATCTCTTATTCTCTCCTACCACACTTCTTTATGTCACGACGCGCCTGGCAACTCTTAACAGATAAGCATTGGAACTATCTTGACGGACATTCTATCCCTATCAACAGATAGTCCAGAATTATCCTCACTCCTTAACTCTATATAAACCTTCGAACGGAAATCTCCAACGTTCGTTCAAGTGTCACTTGATTCAAAACCGTTTCATTAATTTATCCTGTATTTTATTGTTTTTGATCAAGATGGTGGCCGCCCTGAATGTTAAATATAATGTAGTTGAAATAAAATTCATAAATGAATGTTTTTTGATGGTTAGGTAAGGAATGTTAAATAATATTTCAGGCTGTTATTTTTTTAATGGCAGTGTATTTGATTCAGACATTCTGAGGCTGATTTTGGGGTCAGCTAGTAGACAAAATGGGATCTCAATTTTGATTGGCTTAGCCGAACGTGGGAATATTCGATTTAGAAAGTGTATTCGGGGAGTAAGTTATTACACGGCGAAGAGATCAGACGTGGTTATTTCGTGTCCCGGGGAACTTGCTTCCCAGTAGGGGTGATAGTGTGATCCCACTGGCTAGTTAAAAATCTATACGTCGACGTGTTTAATAAAGTAATAAGTCAAAATCCCTTTTGTTCAAGTTCTCATTTAACCTCCGAACGAAAAGAACCAGCGATCACCCGATCAGAAGATGACAGAAAGAAGAAAGCAACATATGAATGAATCAAGACAGTCGTCCCAGGACTACCCACAACATGAGGTGGGGTATACAACATGAAGATCCCAATCCGCAGAATCCCCCCTGTGTTCGATCTAATGCATTTCGCTGCTCTCGGTAGCAGATGCCATGTAGCGACGTTGCTTGAATGTATCAGTCATTGTAAAGATTGCAAAGCCGTTCCAAACACAATGTTTGAAAATCGCGTCTGAAAAAAAAAACAACAAAAACAGTAGATTGTGCGGAACTTACACTATTTACATTATTCGGACTATTGTCCTCATCTTTGTTCCCATATTTATCACAACATTTCGGCCGTTGTACGATCCGGCCTTCTTCAGGTGGTTGGAATGTCGAACTGAACCCTTTATTTCACTCACTGGGCTAGACTGTTCTAGTTTCACGTGCCATCTCTAATGAAAGTCAGTTATCAGTTATCTCCTGTTAATTCACCTCTCCAAGTTCTCCACTGTCTTCACCAGGTATTGAACTCACAACTCTTTGGGTCCTGTCACTGGATCTGACCAACGCCTTTATCCATTGTGCCATGTGTCCTTAAATGTTTGGATAAAGGCATTTGTAACGAGCGAAATAAAGGTTTCAGTTCCACGTTCCAACCACCTGAAGAAGGCCGGAGCGTACAACGGCCGAAACATTGTGATAAATATGGCAACAAAGAGGAGGACAATAGTCCGAATAATGTAAATAGTGTACATAATACCTCATCTCAGAAATATAGACAGATACTTTGCGGAACCTATTGGTAGACTGACTCAGTTAGATGGGTATCAGTGTACGATAGCGGCATAGACATTTCCGTTGAACAGATCGAGAACTTTCTGATAACACTTTTATAAATACTTGCTTCGATCTCTCTCTCTCTCTCTATATATATATATCCTTTCCTACCTCCTCTCTCACCTCCTCTCTCTCTCTGTATATGCGCGTGTGTACGTATGTATGTGTATACACATGAGCGTGTATGTGCGTGCGTATGTGTCTTGAGTGTATGTGTGTGTGATAGAGAGTGATAGAAAGAGAGAGCTTAACTCTTGAGATAGCGTCAATATCTCCCGTGAATTTTTAAAGCCACGTGACCAATCTAGAAACAGCGCTTTCAACCAGCTTACCATTTTTATGCAGCCCAAGTAATCGGTTTTAAAAGAAAGAGAGAGAGAGAAAGAGAAGGGAAAAAGAAAGATCATTCCATGACATACAGTTAATAGCAAAAGCACAAAACAGTGCTTACCTAAAAAAAAACTAAAATAAAAGAGCAAAAAATATTTAAAAACAAAAAACAACATTTACAAAAAGTATTTTTAAAAATCACCAAAGTAAACCTACGTCTTCTCTTTTCGTTGCAAGCATCGTCTGTGGCCTACTTTCTTTCCGCGCATGCTTCCAAATTGTTTACGTCGGTGTTGCGGCCTTTGTTTGCCACTTTCTTTTCTCTTTGCTTCTTTCTTGCCTTTATGCGAGCGTAAGAAAATGAAGGCTTGGCAGAGGACGCACTTGTTAACATTTAAATATGGTGATGACGTTTCTTTGGTGTGATAGGTTCTGCCGTATCTGACAACAAAAGAAAGAATTGCAGTGGCAACCGTCAACATCTCCAGCAACCTATAATACAGAGAAATCGATGTTAGGAGGTGAATAATTCGGTGAACAGGGACGTGCAAATGTTAAATGGGAAGTCGCCGCGTGTGTTCACGTAACTGAATTAAGCTTTAGCAGGATAGCATTTGCTGAGTGGTGAGAAAAAAGAACGATAGGGTGGGGGAGGAAGAGGATACATGTCTCGGGTGAGAGCAAGGGACTGCGAAGCCGATTAGAAAAAGCAATCAAACTTTGGCAAATTAGAAACTGAAAGTTTGTACCTTATTTTGTTTTTTAACATTTTTTATTTCTCAAACCATTTGGAAACAAATAATTAGATGCTTACCAAGTTAAATGTGGAATAAGGCCACACTTTTAGGACGCACAATGACGATCGAATAGACATATAAACTGATAGATGTGTTGAGTTAAGTTCCCTTCCTCTCCCATAATAAGTATGCGCAGCGCCAGTTAGATAAGATGCTCCCTGGACACGTTGGAAAAACACATCTTCTTGCATTATGGCGTGCAGGATTTGCGAGTAACTACATACTTTTATAATATTCACTAGCTTTCATTCTCAGTGTCGGAGAGAAAGCATGGAACACATTTTGACACTTTCTTTGCATGATATGTCTGTATGAAATAAAAACTTCATTTACGTTCTTCCAACTTCTTCGCATTCGTCTATGTTTATATATTATTTATTATTCGTCTATGTTATATGTTTATATAAACATATTTGGGTAATATCTGTACCTCCGGCAGGTACCATTACGGTCACCCACACGCGCTTGGTAAACTAGATAGATAGATAGATAGATTAAAACTAAAAAAGGAATTTACAATAATTTTTAGATATAGACAAACAGAATCTTTATATATAGTAAGACAATCAAACAGATAAAGTAATTTGATTGGGAAATTAAGACATAGAAAAATATTCAAGGTGTGACAAATTCAGTAAATCGTTGAAAAAGGGGAAAACTTAAAACAAAAACTAACAATGTTACTGAGGAATCTGATAGGTTGATACAGAATAAAGAACGATATGATTGGTTACTGTTATAGCATACCAACAGACGATAATGGGTACCATGTAAATGCTGTATGTTGGTCTCCGTCTGAGCTGGTCAAACTTTCTGTCTCCGGGCAGAGAGTATCCCCAGACGAGGTTATGTCGAAGGGCAGAGTCTTGTTCCTGGAAACAGTTATCCAACCACGTTTTATACGCGGTCTACGGGGAAATTTTGGCTGAGCCTACGAGCTCGGACAGCTCACATTAAATTCGGTCTTGTGCAACATCTGACCGCGTGGGGCGGTTGGTAGGTATCCTGCAGTTGGAGATTCGTCTCCAACTGTGCTGGTCAAACTCTCTGTCTCCGGGCAGAGAGGATTCCCAGACGAGGCTATGCCGAAGGGCAGAATCTCGTTTCGGGAAACCCGACCCCATTTTAATTTTTGGTTGAGCCATAGGTGTCAGCCCACATTAAATTCGGCCTTGTGCCACATCAAGCTGCGTGGGGCGGTTGGTAGATATCCTGCTGTTGGAGATTGTGGAATTCACTTGACTTTATTCTGCCAGTTGACGACTTCTTCTACGCACCGCTGGCGAATCTTATATGTGTTGTTCTTGTCCTAAGTATTATCGTTCATTACCAACCTTCGTGTGATTATTCTATTCAGTAACCTTCCCTAGGTTAAAACAATTACAAAGGTCTGTTTTAATTCCACGTCACATAGTTCACGAATTCCACGAAGTCACCTAGTTTCACAATCATTAGGCTGTCGTTGGAATCATCGAACAATACGAACGATCCTTTCTTTAGCTTTAATATTATGTATTACGCCAGGTTTACATACAGTTTTGAATTCAGAGTTACTTTCTCCTAGACCGGTTGTCACCCAAAGCTATAGAACGCAGTCTACCTTGCTATTTACTCATAGCTGGGGGAGAGGAGAAGAAGAGGATTCATACCTTTCCCTAGGATGTTAGCACGTAAATGAATATGATGGATCCGACTGAAATTCGATCTAGGCTCCCCGATCCTTCAATCTGAGACGCTATACTCCACCGTTCTTCCCTATATTTGAATCTTCGAAGCAAAGGCTGCAGAAGCTTCGTCCACCACAAGGAAAGTTGACTCCCTGTGCCGCACCAGGAAATTTTTCTCGCCGGAGTCGATCCTTCAAATCTACAAATCAACCATTCGCCACTGCATGGAGTATTGCTGCCATATATGGTCTGGAGCTCCTTCTGTTTGCCTCGAGGTCCTTGATAAAATCCAGAGACGGATATGCCCTGATCTGGGATCTCGTTTGCAGTCGCTCTCTAACAGACGTGCTGTCGCCTCCCTCTGTCTTTTTTACAAATACTTACATGGTAACTGCTCCGATCAGCTGCTTTCCCTGGTTCCCAGACTTCATGAATATAAGCGTTCTACTAGGCTGGTATCTCTCTCTCACCCTTTCACTGTCGAAACTGTTAAATGTAGCCGTCTCTTCTACTCCAATAGCTTCATATCTCGCACCTCTCGCTGTGGAACTCCCTCCCCTTTTCCTGTTTCTTCTGATAGCTATAATCTCCAACTACTGAAATGTAATGTCAATCGACGTCTCCAGATCCTTTGATCTATCGCCTATCCTTCTCTTCATCCTTTCCTCTATCACTCCTATTTGCTCTCGCACCAACTCTCTGTAACCCCTTGCGTGCTAGTGGCTTCCCGCCTTGCTTGGGGTGAAACGCAAAACAAAAACAAAAAAACAACAACAATAAAAAAAAATAACAACACTACATATCTGGATAGCTGGTGTATTTAGCAGAGCTTTTCTAATCCCGTCCCCACAAAAAATGTTTACAAGAAAGTAAGAAAAACTTTCTGGGACACTTCTTTTCCCTGTCGAGGCGGAAATAATCAGAATCAATGTCATCAAAATGAATAAAATAAAATAAAACATTTGCCAACAACAACAATGATGGCGACGACGTCCAGGTGGTGGTTGTAAAAGTTTCCATCGACAGATGTCTTTTAGCAAGATTTTGCTACTTTTGAAGTCAGTCTACCTGGAGTACGTTCTTTACAGGCTTTAGAAAAAAATCAGAGCTGCGGAAAATGCGTTTCGCCTAAACGTCAGTCGTTCAACATTTGTATTTATCGAATTACTTGACAGAAGAAAAAAGTTATACCGCATTTTTTGGTATATAAGACGCTCGTTTACACATACAAATGTTACGTAAAAAAAAAAAACTGCTTGCATCCTAAACATCGAAGGTATGAATAATATATAAACGAAAAAAAAAAAAAAACGAAATGCTAATCAGTTAAAAACTAAGCCAGCCGAACCTTTTCGCAAGCTCGGTCACGTCCTGCTACGACCTGATGACCAACTTAGTAGAATAATCTCGCAGTTCGACCCGCCATCTGCACACACACACACACACACACACACACACACACACACACACACACACACACACACACATATATATATATATATATATATATATATATACAGGGTGCGACATGTATTTGAGGACATGCAGATTTAAGATTAATACTGCTTCCCAATAACTACTAGTGCTTTCATTTTTCAGGAATCATGGATAGCAAACCTCACGATAACAAATGAAATGAAAAGACATGCTGTGATTGTAGCATAGAAGGATGATCAGAGCGATTTGGATATTGCACGTTTCCTCAAAGTTGCAAGATCGTTTGTCCACAAGATACGTAAAGAGTTAGAAGACGCTGACAGTTCCCCAATGTCTGTATCGAGACGTAAAAGATATTCTGCACGTTCTAATAAAGTGAGAACATTCAAATTTATTCAGGAAGTCAAGCAAACAACTTATGAAAACCGAGGTCAATCAATGAGGTCAATTGCCAAAAAAGCTGCATGTGTCTGAAAAAACAATCAGAAGGAGTGTTCATGAAGACATTCGATACAAGTTTTACGGGATGAAGAAAGGTCAATTTATGTCTGAAAAACAAAAGAAAACCGTTTAAACAGATCCGAGGCTTTTAAACAAATTTAAAAATCCTTCAGAAGTTGGTGTGATTTGGTTTTTCTTAAATGAGAAAGATTTTCCTCAAAATCAAAAACTTAACAGAAGAAATGACAAATGGCTTTGTTCAGACCCTTCTGATATGCCAAGAATGATGGGCACAAAATTTACATCAAATGTTATGGTATTGGGTGTTGTTAGCAATGAAGGACATGTTATGCCACCACACTTTTGTTCACAAGGTCTTAGAGTAAATGCTGCTGTTTACATAAAGGATCTAGAAACAGTTGTCAAGCCCTGGTTTGACAACATATGCAACGGCTGGCCTTACATATTTCAGCAAGACTCGGCTCCATCCCACAAGGCTCTACAAACACAAGAATGGATGGCTGACCATTTGTACGACCACATCACACCCAACATTTGGCCTCCTAACTCTCCAGATCTCAATCCACTAGACTATTATGTGTGGAGCGTTGTTGAGAAGGAGGTTAACAAACAGCTTCATAACACCAAAGACTCTCTTAAAGCTGCAATAGTTTGAATAATGTCTGATATAAATAAGGACCAATTGATCAGAGCTTGCAGCCGATTTCGACCTTGTGTAGAGGCAGTTATTGATGCTAGTGGTAGTTTTATTGAATAAAATTAAATAATAGTTAGCTAAATTTCATGTTTACTTGTTTGTAATCAAATATAATTATATTCATTTGTTCAGCAAGTTTTTTACTAATCCATAAAATCTGTCCTCAAATACCAGCCGCATCCTGTATATCCAGGTAAAATGTGAACAAATGGAGCATAATTCCACTGTACGTAACATTTCATTTAAATGAGGGCTCAATACAGAGTAGAGATAAATATTATCTAGGTTTTATATACGGAAAACTTCGTGTCATAATATGTATTAAAAAAAATTCCGGTGAATTTGAATTTAGCATAGGTCACACTCGTTCACGGTCAAACTCACAAGCCTATTTTTAAAAAAGTATTCTGCTTTTGAAATTA